ATTATTAGGTTGAAAATCCTCGGTGGTTCGTCGGCAATCCAACCACTGTCCGGAACGTCTCCTGTTATCATACATGACCCATTTTTCATCACAGGTGACAATTCGGCCCAAAAACAGGTCGTTTCTGCTGCGCAAAAGAAGAAGGAACCTCGAGACGTGCCAATTTCTGCCGGTCACTCAAATTGTGGGGCACCCACTTGTCGAGTTTTTTCACCTTCCCAATGCGTTTCAGACCATCTGCAACAGTGGATTTGCCAACGCCTAGCTTTTCTGCAATCTCTCGAACTGTTTGGGATGGGTCAGCCTCCACAAACGCCTTCAAATCCTCGTCAGGTATTGCTTTAGGTCGACCGCTACGAGGTTCATCTTCAAGGCTGAAATCTCCAGAACGAAATTTGTCGAACCATTGTCGCACGGTGCTTTCTCCAACACTATTGGGCCCCCACACCTGGTTAATTTGTCGAGCTGTCTCGACTGCGGATTGACCCAATTTGTAGTTGAAGAAAAATATCGTCCGAAGTTGCTCTTTTGACATGCTTCAAAAAGTCTTGGGAAAAGGGGGTTTATCAAGCAATGGTGAAACGGCAATTATACCATCAGATAGCGCAAAAATTCTCTTCAGGATGTACTACTGAGACGCAAGGGAGAATGAGTTTTTAATCAGCAATGAATGTACAAAAAATAGTAACACAAAACGCTGAGAACTTTCCGGACAACCTAATACTTCTGCCAAACTAGGTTGTCAGATAGAACGTTTTATTGGCCTGACATTTCGATCTTCTACGCGCATAGTTAACACTAACCTGGGAAAAGGCGTGATACCATAACCACTCCGCTTTGTTCTTCCCAGTCTTGCCATGCCTACCAGAATAGAGTGCGTGCTCCAATAAGAGAGACGTGCGCCACGACAACTTGACTTATGCGACAGGATGAAACTCAAGTGGGACTCATTCGTCCTCTGTTATCTTACTAACAAGCAGCAAGAGCTATGCTACGCCCGGTGGGACAAAGGTTGTTCGTTGGTGCCAGGGTAAGGTGACCGAAGGTCCTCGCTGGATGAATACTAAAATTGTCTTTTCACCCATCTCGTGTCTGGGGAGTGTATTGACGGGCCATTGTCCACTATGACATGCTTGACCCTCGCTCAAAGAAACCGACTCAATAGCTTGAGGCTTCACTGATAATCAAAGGCTGCTAATGGGCTTTACTTCTGAGGAACCACTGAGTTTTGTCCATGAAGTTCTTGTTTCCATCTTGTGATAAATCTTTTGTTGCAGACTGTTTATTCTCCAAACATTATTCCTCATAAAGGTCCAATGCCAACGAAAGCTCATAAAATCGATGCTGATTTCGGTGGAATTACTCTGGATTTGGCAGCAGCTCAACGTCACGTGTGGAATAGTGACATTGCTTCCTATATAGAGCTATCAAAAAGTTGCTCTGAAACCGACGCGAGCACTCGCTAAAGGTACTCATTCAGTTCAAGGCATGAGGTGCGATAATTTGCTACTTTCCCAGAAAATAGTAATAGCAGTGGTGCATATAGGGTGGGGGGGGGCGGGGGGGGGGGGGGGGGGGGGGAAATGACGGAAAAAGGTGGATAATAGATAAGCGCTCAAAAAATGAACATTCGTTCGCGCGCATGACACTGGATGGAGCGTTTTCAGACAGTATTACTGAGGCATATGGTGGCCACTTCGAACATTTAGGTAACGAGTTTGTTTGAATAGCCAGAATTGAATGTAAGCTGTACTCGCCCAATAGTGTGGCGATGGTGAGGGTTACGCGTTAGGTGGCTCGCTGCAGTCTTTGATGAGGTCGCTATACCCTCCGTCGCGGCACGTTGCGAGTCCTTTCTGCAGGGAAGAGCCTTGCGGCGCATGCTCAGGGACTAGCATTCTGTCCTACCAAGGCCGTAGTCCACGCAACAACGCTTCGTCGATTCATCGTGCTACTTGCCTTTAACTTCTCAGTTTTAGCCAATATTTTAGAATGTTTCCATAGATGCTTGAATCATCTTGTTTTCGAAGGCACATTCTACGATTAGTCGAGCACAGCCACCTTTTAGACAGACATGACATTGTTCAATCCTCTCCCTAAGGTTTTCTATTTCTTGTGCATTTGCCCCCGTTCTCCAAGTCGAATGCAGAAACTATGGGCTACAGATCCGTACATTTCTGACTGCGTTTTTTGTTTTTTTTTCATTTTTACTTTACTAGCGGCATGCACCGTGGAACATGCATTATCTAACCGAGCGATAAACCAGCGAACCTAGCTGTAGTGATATATATGCTTCAACATATAGGCTTACTATCGTTTTTTAACTACTTTTTCAGCTCTGTTCAATTCGGACGAGTTCCATGAGTGGATACGTCAACAGAATTTCGATATAGTTGTATCAGAAGGCGTCGGTTGCTATGACGGTTTGCTGTATATGCTGGGAATCAAAAAGTATGATGCGAAAGTACTTACTATGTAAAACATAAACATGACACTCTCTCGCATGTCCTACTTCATGTCTGTGGGGTAATGGGTCAAGGCCTGCGTACATGCCATCTTCTCCTGTTCAATAGTCGACAGCAGTGAGTGTTAGGAGGATATTGGAAAATCAAGTGCTTTTGCCGTATCCGCGCCGAGCTGCGCACGACCGGCCGGATGCACACGATCTGACCATAGCGAGCAGGAATTGTCTGCTTCCTTTCAGTTTCGGTTGTTCGCTGAGTATGTGTTCCAGTGCGGGACTTCAGTATCGACGCAAATGCTGCATCTTGACTATAGCGCGGCCAGGGTGCGGAAAAAGCACCTGGCTATCACTGCACTTCATTCTGATTCCGTGACTTTGACGTAGAGTGAAAAACGCCACTGCGCTGTGGACGCTTTAGGCTTGACGCTGGGATGATTAAGTTGGCGTCAAATGCACGCAGCAAACCTGGGACGAAACGACCTAGTATAGGTTTGTTAATTTTTAATCCTGACCAAACATGCCTTTATATGAAAGTCTGTTAGAAATGTTTTGAGTTATACTCATTTCCTCTGGTCTTAGATTGTGTTGTGACGATCCAAACTCACTCGAGTATGTGGTAAACGGACTCGGTATATACAAAAACACACTCAGTTTTGTTCCAGGTAACATCTTTCGAGCACTATCTTCTGTCCCTCTGACTTTTATTTCCAGTATTTTTTTAGTAAACAACAAAGGCTTTTCGGTGCCAATGACGTACATGGAACGAGCACTGAACCTTCTAGAATACGTCTTCACGGCAACAATCATTAAATATACACTAGAGCCGGAGTTTGACGGGTACTTCGACCAGAAATTCGGCAAAAATGCCTGGTCTATGCAGGTAGAACTTTCAGTTCTTTTCAATGAGTACAGTTGGCGCAGTGGTCGGAAGCACCGCATGACATTGTTGGACCTATCGGTTCAAACAGACCTCTTCAGGCTAATTCTTATCTCGGGGGATCTGGGACGGTAGTAATCTATCTAAATCTCGCAATGAAATGTGATGAGTTGCTCGCGGTTATGCAGAACAACGACGTATGAGCGAGGCAACCACGCTGGAAACAACGAGCTTCGCTAGGCTATTTGCAAAACTTCGCTCGGCGATCGATCTCGCCACCATGCAAGTGGTAGCGCGCATAATTGTCGCTACGCTATCACAGGTATCGCTGACTGGCGGCGGTCCCTGGTAACAAGCAATGAGCTGAACATGGCAAACAGTTATGGACTTTTCTTTTTCAAACTACTTGAGAATCTTGTTTGAAGTGGCTCTTTTTGTAACTTTTGCACGAAGACCTCTACCGAATGGTCCCTATTCCATGCTCCGCCCACTTCTAGAATATCCGCAGATATCACATGTTCATTTGTGGCCCGTTTGGCCACAATCCGCGAAACCCCCACAAGGCATAAGTTCAATTACCCAAGTTTGGGGTGCACTAAAATTTTACAGTCCCCCCCCAACCATTCTGCTATGCCACATCAGTACCGTCCCTGATTGATTACTTATAGATGTAAAATCGATATAGGAATTTAAATAAAGTAAGACTAACACGTTTAACGGTGACCAGATCTGTAGACCTGATCCTGACCTATATCGGAATAGAAGTAACACTAGATTTATTACCAACTGAGGAGCACATAATATCAAAAAAATGTGAAAGTACCGTATTCAGAAATTCCCCTGCTGACGTGACCGTTTAGGCGACTTCCTATGTCC